CACACAGGTCCCTGGAAGGGAGCATTCTTGCATCTGTCTGAGAACAGCTGCCCAAGCAGCGAGGATTAAAATACATCGGAAAAAAAATAAATAAATAAAATACATCGGGACGCGGTGGGGCCGCCCTCACGGGAAGAGCGGGAAGAGCGCTGCCCTCCGTGGCCGGCGTCCAGAATGGGAACGCCCGGGGGTTCCATGTCCCCAGAGCTCACCCGGTCCCTTGGAGCAGCGTGTACCGCTAATGCCAGAAAACTCCCCAAAGTCCTGCAGGGAGAGAGCTGTAAATTCCCGGGCTGCAATGTTGTCAAATATTTCATTGAAGAACGTCATGGAAAATGCGCGCTTTTGGGTAAAAGGGCCAAGTGGAAGGGGTGAGCTCAGGGCTGCAACATGAGGTTTTTTTCTTTCTTTCTTCTTTCTTTCTTTTTTAAACATACTAGAAGCCTCTTCCTGACACGCAGGCTGTAGGGGACATTAACTGCCAGGGACAATCCTTGTCATAGCTGCTCTTGAACTTGGCCCATCCTGTACACCTCGCGTCCCTGCGTCTTCTGTCTGCCAGGGTGCTCTCGGTTCCATGGTCAGGGTTCACAGCCCCCCACCCAGGGCATGCGTGTCCCCTCCCATACCACACAGAACAGCTTGAAGAGCACTAGGCTTGTGTGCCTTCCCAGAGCAGCCACGGTAACAGTCATTGCTACAAAAGTAAAGTAGGAGTGTCACTTGTCTTCCCTGAGAACTAAAGTCAAAACAGAGTATGCTCACTGGATTACAGTGGCAGTTCTGTGACCACAATGACCACCACCACCTTGTCATCAGCATCATTACTACACCATCACCATCGCCATTGTCATCACCACTACCATCACCTCATCACCACCACCACCATCAATCACCACCATCACCCTCACAACCATCATCATCATCACGACCACTATCAACATCACCACCATCATCACCATGGTCACCAGCATCACCATCATTACTATACCATCATCATCACCATCACCATCACCATCATTCATCAGCATCAGCATCACCATCATTATCATCACCACCATCATCACCATCATTGTCACCACCACCACCACCACCACCATCACCACCACCACCATCATCATCAACCACCATCAACATCACCATCATCACCATCACCATCAACCACCATCAACATCACCATTATCACCACCATCACCATTGCCATCACCGCCATCATGCGGGTGGGGCTGCCTGTGAACCTCCTGGCAGCCTACCACTTACCTGGCCATGCTTTACCCAGACCCACCCTCTGATACCTGGGCAGACGGAGCATTTGTTACTACTTATCCTCCTCCTTGCAGTGTGCTGTACTGGGGACGTGCATCAACACGTCTCCCGCAGCATTCTTTGCCCACAGGTATCACATGGGACATCTCTCACAAGGTGCCATGTACATAGCCCATGGTGCCCCACATGTGGGCTCTACTAATCCTGCCGCTGTCCTTATGTATCCTGGGTTGTGTGACCAGGAGAACTCTGCCTCCAGGACCACTGGGCTGTGTGTGTGTGTGTGGGGGGGCTTATTATACACAAAGAAATTGTGTCCTTAACCCTGTTACCTGGTACACACACCTTGTAACATTCTGGGTAGAGAATACCTCTCTATTCCGCATATATATCATTATATTGTGCACATCTGAGCGTTTTCATCACTCTTGAAACCACTACCTGGTACCCATGTCCTCCTGTGACGTCGGTGCCAGAAGCCCTCTGCCACTCTGCGCCACCCAAGGCTGCTTATGAGGCCGCCTTGAGGCCTGGCCTGGCCTTGCCGCCCAGGGCCTGGCTGGCCGAGCGAGCTAGGGTGCTCTGCAGGCGAAGGCAGCACAGCGGGTGCACATCTGGAGTGTGCAGAGACCTGTCCTGTGCATTTTGTACCCAGATCACTTTCCATCCAAGCGCAGGGGCGCCCTCTCTTTCCGACCTCACCGTTTCCCACCACAGCCCTCTATACCCAAAGACTGAACTTTCACTCTCAAGGAACCCACCCCCTTCCTGATTCCCGCTCTCGGATCCGGGGACCTGAAGTCTCACTCCCCTGCCGAGTCCGGCTCCCTTCTCCACTGACGCCTGGGACCCGCCAGGCTCCTGAGCCAAACGTCCAGGTCGCTCGGCCCAGCGCACGCGGACCGCCCTACCTTGAGGCACCGTTTGGACGTCGCCTCGCAGGGGGTGGGGGCAGCAGGGGCCAGGGGCCGCGGGCCGGCGTCAGTGCAGGGCAGGGGCGGCGGGCAGGGCGGCTGCCCTCGCGGTGGGTGGTCGGCGGCCGCCCTGCCCCCGCCGCGGCCGTCCGGGCACCATCCGAGCTGGATCTGGTTCCCCGCTCGGGTTACGGCGCGCTCTGGGCCCCGGCGGCTTCACTTAAGCAATTAGCCAGTAAAAATGCCTCGGGCTTGGGGAGTGGGGACGTCGCAGGCTGTTTTTACACCACCCCCCTCCAGTTTGGGGATTCCTGGGGCCGGTGCCGGAGCGGACTGACTTGGTTGGGACCGGAGCAGAGTCTTAAGGGATTCTCGGCTGAGAGAGAAGCTCTGCTCACGGATCCTGTGGCATCTTCTCCCACAGCCCAGCCCCAGGCTGAGCCTCAGGGGTCTTCGTTTCTGTTTGAGTAGATCAAGTCCCCTAACCCGGTCACACCCTCTAGGAAACGGGTGTCATAATTAGTTCCAATATTCAGAGGAAAAAAACTGCAGTTTATACAGCGTCCCAAGGTGTGGGAGGTGGGACCACATCCCCAGGACCACTGGACTATGCCTGGAGGGTCTCTCTGCAGGGTGGCCCCTTAACCTGCCAGCCCCTTTCCTAAAGGGAGAGGAACAAGACTGGCTTGATAGGGGACCCTGGGAATATTAAGCAGGTAACCTTAGGGCTTTTATCAGGGTCCCGGGGTAAAGTGCAGGGGGATGGGGATCATGATCATGAATTAGCTCCAGACATTTTTGGCAAAGCCTTGAATCACCTTAGGGAGGGGTCAGGAGAATACCATTTTCACAGCTCATCAAGGGGATTCGTAGCCCAGAGAAAGGCTAAGAATGCCTGCCGAGGGCTGTGTACCTAGCAGTGCAGTGGGTGGTGCGTGGTCAGCCGTGGAGAGCACCACAGCTAAGGTCACTTGGGCTGTTAGGCTAGCACCCTCAGCTGTCTAACGAATCCCAGCCCCTGCAGCCTGGGAAGCCGAGGCTGTGGCGTGGGGACAGAAGCATTTTGAAAGTGCACTCTTTCCACTCCTGGACTATCTGGGAAGACGACAAGGCATGCCCTTCTGTCCTAAGGGGAAGAGAGGAAGGACGGAGAGATGGTGGCTTCACAGCCACTAGCTGACCTGGGCCAAGTCCTCTCTGGGCTTCAGCTTCTCTACCCCAGAAATGCAAGATCAAAGGCGACCTCTCAGGGCCCCGAAAGAGCCAAGAACTTGTCTCTGAACTCACAGAAAAGCCATCTTGCCATGAATGTGGTTTTCAAGAAATTGGGGGGTCCATATTACAGAACTGGGTGCTCATTCCTCTCCCCGGTCAGGCCCCACTCTCACCTCCCACCTCAGTAGGGACTGGGGTTTGGGGAGAGCTTTAGTCTTTGGCAATCCCAAGACCCCAGCTGCTGGGCCCCTCTCTCCCTGGGCACCACTCTACAGATCCTCCCCTGCGGGATCTGGCTAGCTCTCAGGCCTAAGGAATAATCCCGCAGCCTCTCCCCTAAAGGGCAGAAGTTCCTTTATCCCAAAATATAAGGAACTCCCCAGGGGTGTATGTGAAAGGCTATGGTGTGCTGGAGGCGGGAGGTAGGAAACCCCATCTCAGGATTAGTCAAAGAATCTGCAGCAAACCCCAGCCTAAAAGGAAGGAGGCTACTAGTAAAAGGGCCCCCAACTTCATGTTCTGTAAACTCCCCTCACTTTGGAAGCCCGCGGGAGTGAAGGAAGGGGAGAGGGGAATGGAGATGCTATTGCCACTTTTGGAGAGCTGTGGGTGCCTGTGCACCCGCCACTGGCTCACCTCTGCTAAAGGCCAGGTGTGGGGAGACCTCCTTCCCAGGATCAAACCTCCCTTCCAGCACCCAGGCCGCTGTCCTCTGCAGCTTCCGTGTGTGTGTGTGTGTGTGTGTGTGTGTGTGTGTGTGTGGTGGGGGGAGATAATGATGTGTGCCCACGGCATGCCCTGGGGTGGGGTGGCCGTTTTTTGTGGTTGTGTGTGCATGTGGGACCAGCTCTGGTGGGCAAATGCAGCACAGCATGGTGGTAGACGTGCCTGGAGCATGGGCTCCCCTCAGTGGGCAGGCTGTGTGACCCTGGGAGGGTTGTGGCACCTAAGCTGTAGGTCTGCATTGGTTGGGAGGGTAAAGGCAAAGCTTTGGAGGTACTGAGGGTGTCTGTGGGTAGCAATGCCAAGTGGGCCCTGAAAGTGGAGTGTGTCTGTCCACCACGGCTGTCTGTCTGTGAGAACACCCAACTGTGTATGCACAGATAAATATTAAGTGGTTATGTCCCACACTCGCCCTTTCCCCAGGCAGGACAAGGCTGGGGAAGCAACTCTCTCATCTCCAGAGCCATCTTCCCAGCCGAGCTCTGCCAGGGGAAGCGGCGACAGCCCGGCAGGCTAAGCCGGCAAGCCACCCACCCCCAGTTCCTCGCACAGCAGTGCCAGGAGCCCCGAAGGCGTCAAGGCGTCTTCCGCCAAAAAGCTGAAGGCGTGTGTGTGTGTGTGTGTGTGTGTGTGTGTGTGTGTGTGTGTGTGTTGCGGGAGGGGGTGTTGGTGAGAGGTGGACAAAGATCTGGAGAAACCCCAGAGGCCAGTGGACTTTGAAGGAGCCGCAAGCTGGGCTTAAAGCCCGGCACACGCCTGTCGCCCTAGCTCGAGCCGGGGCACAGCGGTATGGCTCTTCGCGATGACCCGCGAAAACACGCCTTGCCCCCCTTCTCCCTGCCCAGGCCGGCGCCCAGCGGAACGCTGGAAAACCACACTCACCTGGGTCTGTGCGCGCCGGCCTTCTGCGTGATCCCGCGCTCTGCCCGACAGCACCTCCGGTGCACCCGAGCTAGCCCGCAAGCCCGCGCAGCGAGGTTGGCTAGGGACGGCGTGCGTGCAAGCCCCTCCCGGCCAGCAGCCAGGCGCTGAAGGGCCGCCCTGGCCCGCGCTCCCCACCCGCGCAGCCTGCTTTCCGGAACCTGGCCTGGCGCGCAGTGTCAGAGGCCCCCGCGGCGGTGGTAGGCTGAGCCCACAGGGGCATTAGGCCAACTCCCCCCGCGCACGCGGAATTCTCTATTATTATTAAAGAATCCCCCGAACATGTTTACTTTGAGCCTGTAAACTTCCTGCCAGGGCCTTTGCCATCTCTCGGGAAATCAGAACCTGCGCTTGGAAAATGGGAACTCTGGACCGCGGGCCAAACAGAAGGAGATTCAGTGGGCGTATTGGCAGGGCGGTTGGGGGAGAATTGGGCTATACGTGAGTTCGGATCAGAGCGCGATGTGCATACGCGTGAGAGAATGCGAATTTAAGCTCCCAGGGGCCTACTCGGTGTGCGTGAGCACACGCATTAATGGACGTTCACATGCCTGAGCACTGTGTGCTTAAGTGGGCATACACGGTGCCTGTGGGTCTGAGTCTAGGTGATTTACTGGATTTTCAAGTGGACCATTTGTGTATGTGGGTGCTAAGTGTATGCTCTAGCACACGAGTGTGTGTGTGCACAGATAAATGAGTGAGCGGGGCTGCGTGTTCTGGGAACCTGTGCGGTTTTGCACTCGCCTGGGTCCCGCCTGCCTGTGGCGCCGGACACAAAGCAACCTTGACCAGCCCTGAGCTTTCGTTTTCCGCCCGCGCTCAGCCCGGGGCAGCTGGCCGCCCGCTCGCGCACTGCTGGGCGAGTCCGAAAAATCCCGGGCGCGGCACAGTCCTTCCCGGGGCGGGGAGAGTAGGTAGGCGGTCCCTCGCGGGAACTTACGCCGTCCCGCTGCGGGTACTCGGAGCCCAGCCCGCTATGCCCGCGATGGTCACGACCCGGAGGCCGCTGCTGCTCTGGCAGTTGCCATTTGCCACCGGGCTGTGCGGGTCGGGAAAGGCCTGGGGCCCGGGGCTCGTTTCCCGCGGCTCCGCCCGAGCCTAGAAGGCCGGGGGCTTGCGCGCCGCGGGGTCGAGCCGCGGGCGGAGGGCACATTCACACTTGCTCGCCAGGTTGGTGGAGGCGGGGCGGGTTCTGCGGGCGGCTGCGGGGCGGAGAAGGCGGGGGCCCTGCTAGCGCCCACGACTGGGGCCGCAGGGAGGCCGGGAGGGGGACTCCTGCGGGGTCTCACTTCAGCCCGCGAGGCGCCCCGAGCCGAGGTGCGGTGAAAGCGGCCTGGGCGGGAATCCGTGGAGCGGAGCGCCGCGGGCGGCGGGGACGGAGCGCAGCTCCCAGCCGGGGCGCACGCCGGCCGCAGGCCCCAGAGGTGGTGCCTCCCCCCACAAAAGCCCGGGGGGGGGGGGAGCTTCCTCGCCGCCTCCGCCCGGGCTGCCCTCGGCCTCCGCTCGGCTCCTTCCCCTGTGGGAGGGCGAGAGAGAAAGAGGGAGGAGAGAGGAGTGGGGGAGGAGGAGTTGGAGGAGAGGGGGGCTCTGAGCCAACCGCCGGCGGATCCAGCAGCTCCTCGGGAGGGCGGGCGGGCGAGCGGGGGAGGGCGCGCCGAGGCTCGCTCGGGAGAAGTGGCCGCCGATGACGGCAGAGGTGCAGCCAGCCCCGCGCGCGCAGCCCCCTCCCCCTCGCCCTCCTCCCCCTCCTCCTCTTCCTCCTCCTCCTCCTCCTCCTCCCGGCCCCTCGGCGGCGCAGAGCAGCGGCGGCAGCGGCGGCGGAGGCAGCAGCCACCCGATGTCTTCGGCCCCCGAGAAGCAGCAGCCACCGCACGGCGGCGGCGGCGGCGGCGGCGGCGGCGGGGGAGGCGGCGCGGCCATGGACCCCGCGTCGTCCGGCCCGTCCAAAGCCAAGAAGACGAACGCGGGCATCCGGCGCCCGGAGAAGCCGCCCTACTCGTACATCGCGCTCATCGTCATGGCCATCCAGAGCTCTCCCACCAAGCGCCTGACGCTCAGCGAGATCTACCAGTTCCTGCAGAGCCGCTTCCCCTTCTTCCGCGGCTCCTACCAGGGCTGGAAGAACTCCGTGCGCCACAACCTCTCGCTCAACGAGTGCTTCATCAAGCTGCCCAAGGGCCTCGGGCGTCCCGGCAAGGGCCACTACTGGACCATCGACCCGGCCAGCGAGTTCATGTTCGAGGAGGGCTCCTTTCGGCGGCGGCCGCGCGGCTTCCGAAGGAAGTGCCAGGCGCTGAAGCCCATGTACAGCATGATGAACGGGCTCGGCTTCAACCACCTCCCGGACACCTATGGCTTCCAGGGCTCCGCCGGCGGCCTCTCCTGTCCGCCCAACAGCCTGGCGCTGGAGGGCGGCCTGGGCATGATGAACGGCCACTTGCCGGGCAACGTGGACGGCATGGCTCTGCCCAGCCACTCGGTGCCCCACCTGCCCTCCAACGGCGGCCACTCGTACATGGGCAGCTGCGGCGGCGCGGCCGCGGGCGACTACCCGCACCACGACAGCTCGGTGCCGGCCTCCCCTCTGTTGCCGGCGGCCGCCAGCGGGGTCATGGAGCCGCACGCAGTCTACTCGGGCTCTGCGGCTGCCTGGCCGCCCTCGGCCTCTGCGGCGCTCAACAGCGGAGCCTCCTACATCAAGCAGCAGCCCCTGTCCCCCTGCAACCCTGCAGCCACCCCCTTGTCCGGCAGCCTCTCCACGCACTCCCTGGACCAGCCGTATCTGCACCAGAACAGCCACAACGCCCCAGCTGAGCTGCAAGGTGAGTGGAAGGCTCAGACTGTCCCTAGAAGCGGTGTCTGTGAGTGCCCTACAGGACCCAGCCCCAAGCCCGCTGACTGCCATGGAGGAGACCCTCTTACTGCTGAAGAAAGGAGCAGCTCCCCTGGGTGCCCCGGGTCCCACTCTGTCCCTTTGAAGGGCAATGCAGCTTGAGACCTCCAACTTGGTCCAATTTATCTGTTTTTCTGTTCTAACTCTGCCCTATTGGCCGCCCCAAGCCTGACCAGGTAGGCCCCATTCTCACCAAAGTGTCTCGGACTCCAATACTCTAAGTCCTTTGGGTCCCTTAAGTCTTCTCGCTCTTCAGACGGGTCTCTGTGTGGAGCCAGGACCCTCAGTCCTGGCCAGGGAACCCGCAGTCCCCTAGTGATCCCCCAGCAGGTCGTCGGGCCTGGGCAGAAGGGAAGAGTTAGGCCCAGAGCCTCCTGGGCTTGGTGCCCCTCGGCTCAGCCCGGCCCTTGCAGGAACCAGGCTTGGCAGTGAGTGCAGGGGCATTCTGTGGTGACAGATGCAGGGTGGTGGCCAGGCCCAAGGAGGGTCAGGGCTGCCAGCCACACAGCTCTTTGTTTCTCAGGATCAAGGTTTTTAGGTCCCCAGACCCCCACCCTAGACACACAATTCTTTGAGAAAGAAGAGGTAGAACAGCCTCCCCCTCTGAGCCATCCGCCCGGAGCCGCCACCCTCTGGGCCTAGTTCTGGAAGGAGTAGGGAGCAGCTCACTGGGGCCTGTCAGGGTCAGCTGTCAGCAGCCTCCAGGAGGCAGGAGTCGGGCCTGGAGGTGGGTGGGCTGCCTCTGCAAACTCCCTACCAGTTCCCTTGCAGGGGTGGGGGGGCTGTTCTCTCAGCGATCTGTCCTCTGACGCTTTTCTTTTTGCCCTGCGGATGACCGCGATGCCGGCCTAGCCGAGACGCAGGCCGGGCCTGGCTGGGGCTTCTCGCTCTGCTCTACCCGGTGGAGGTGGCTGCCCGGAGGCTGCAGAAGATCTGGCTCCCAGAGGCCTCTGTGGCCTCAGTAAGGGAGGCTGCCTCCCTTACCCCTTCCCCTTCGGCTTTGGGAAACCCTTGGCCCGGACAGATGGTGTCCAAGGCCGGATAGGCCCTGGTGTGTGAGCTGCAGGAAGCTGGGCAGTGTTCTGGGATGGTTGCCTGTGTGCACAACTCAGGACCAGAAACCCGGTCAGCCTGGGTTGGCCCCACGGGGGCAGGCAGGGAAGTTGGGAGGGGGCGGGCAGTGGGTGATAAGGTGGTCTTGCGTGCGTGCGCTGGAGCCGGGCTGGCAGCTGAGTGGCCCGCTGCACAGTGCCTTGTCCACCCTGAATGCTGGCCCTGATGCTAAATCTGGTGTCCCCAACCCTCTGTCGGCTCTCCTCGCAGGCATCCCGCGGTATCATTCCCAGTCGCCCAGCATGTGTGACCGAAAGGAGTTCGTCTTCTCCTTCAACGCCATGGCGTCCTCCTCCATGCACTCTGCCAGCGGGGGCTCCTACTACCACCAGCAGGTCACCTACCAAGACATCAAGCCCTGCGTGATGTGAGGCTGCGGCCCACCAGGCGCTCCCGGCATGGGCTGGCAGGCCCGGGGACCTCGGAGCCCACCACCAGAAACTGCTTTATTCTTGAGGTATAACCTTCGGCAGAAAAAAAAGGGGGTTGACCCCTCCCCAACCGGATTATTTGGAAAGAAATCCCCAACGCAGAGGCCCCAGTCCCCCGCGGTCAGCGACTCCTCCCCCAGTGGCTCACTGCGGGCTTTAGAACGTGATCTTGGGGCCTGGTGGGACTGCAGCGCCCGGCGATCGCCGGCTGTTCTCGGTCGACCGTGTGGAACCCGGCTGCGGAGGGAGGCGCTGAGCCGCTGAGGCCCTCGACCCCCAGAGTTCTGCTGAGGTCCCCGCCCTGGCCAAAGCGGGGAGGATTTTTAGGCGAAAGGCAACACGTGAGACCAGCCATTATCAAATACTTTTATTTTTTGGTTGAGTATTTATCTTTTTATTTTTAACTTTTTTGAAAGAATGTCTTGGAATGCAGGTCCCTCTAGAGCCGACCTTTGCAGGGAGGGAGGGGACCAGACGGCCTCGCCCTCCCGGCTCAGAAGGCTCCTCCAGCAGCCACAGGTGGATCTTTGTGCGAATACCTTACATTTCTGAAGCCACTGTTCGTCTTTAAAAGAAAACAGAAGGAGCCAAGAAGCCAGCGGCTGTCTGGCCTCAGCCGTCCCCTGTCCCCTTCCACCGTCCTCATCCTTCTCGCCAGTCTGTTTTGTTTTGAATTTCATTTTTACTTTTTCGGTGGGTATTTTTCTCTCTCCCGAGCTCTACTGTAAACTTTCTGGTCCGAGAGCGAGGTTAAGACCCAGGCCCCGGGAGGCCGACCGGCTCTCAGCCCTGCGGAGACGCAGAAAGGTTAAGGCACTTTTAAAACTAACGCGAGGCTCATCCTGTTATTTATTCTACTTTCTCTCCCAGTAAGCGGAACACCGCACAGGCTCCTCCGTTGATCAGTATTAATGGTGTAACTTTGTTGGCAATATTTGCCGTGTAGAATTTTTTTTAGATATCCATTGTAAATTTGAAGCAAAGACCAATCCATGTAAAAACAAATTTCCTATGTTTTATATAAATATATATAATATGAAGGACTGTCCCCCTTTTTAGTATTTGGGCTGCTGGGCTGCAGCATGTGACACGTATTTTAAATTTACTTCTGCACTGTATAAAACAACAATTTGAGGATGTTTTTGCCTTTTGTGTATTTTTTTTCCTAAAAAAAAAGAACAAAAAATAAAAATGTATAACATTTGTATATGGCCTTTAAAATTGTATCAACTAGAAATAAAATCATGTGGATATTTTATTTACAGAATATCTTCCAGATTCCCAAATGTTGGAAAGCTTTGTATCTCTAGACCTTGAAAAATTTAAAATCTAGGTAATTCAGAATATTTTTTTCCTTTTTTCTTTCTCTTTCTTTCTTTCTTTTTTCCCCCCCTTTTGGCCAATCATCTCTTGGTTTGACATTGTAGTAAAATGTGGACAAGGGTAACTATTTTTCTTGGCTTCTGTTTTTAAAGAAGAGCTCTCTGCCCCTCTAAATGTCATTTCTCATTTTAAAGATCATTTAAAATTCTCATTTTAAAGATCATTTTAAAGAAATAATCAAACATTTAAAGGTTCCCCCTCCCACCAGGAAAACACACATATGTGTGTATGTTATATATGCAAATTATATATGGGTGTGTGTGTGTGCATGTATGTATATACATATATATGTATATATATAATTTTTTTTTGGTAGCCACTCCAAGACTAATGAGTTTTACTTTGAACTTCAAATTTTACTGGTCCCGTATTCTAAAGGTTATAAATCATAAAACAGCTTTAAACGTTTGTTTTGGTTTTTGTCTTGTTTCATTTTGTTTTTTTTGGTGTCCATACTTGGTTTTCCCCAATTGAAAATAAAGTGAAATTTGAGAGATAAAGGGACCACCACTGGGAGGCCAAGGCCATAGGCATATTTCCTTCCATGTATGTATGTATGTGTGTGTATATACACACACATACATTATAAAATATATAAAATTATATATAAATGTACAAAATATTTCTTTTTTAGTTTTTGTTTCTGTGATTTTTTTTCTTTTTCTTTTTCTCTTTTTTTTTTTTTTGTACTGAGAATTGGAGCCAGGATCTTGTGCGTGCTAGGGGAGCACTCTACCACTGAACCACAGTTCCACCTCTGAAATTTTGAGAAAGGGTCTTGTTAGTTTGCCCTGGCTGGCCTCGAACTTGCTGTCCTCCCGCCTCAGCCTTCTGGCTAGCTAGGATTGCAGGCGTTTGCCATTCCGCTGGCTCCGAAATCGTATTCCCCGCCTGGGGGTGGGGGGAGAGACTTAGGTTCCTGTCTTCTGCAGACCACCCCTCCATTCTGATCCTGGCTACCCAGGAAAACAAACACAATAAGTCGCATTGTTGGTGCGGCCCGTCCTGACCCACCGCAGTGTCTGCGCGCCGAGGGGTCGCGAGTCTCTGAACCTGCTTCTTCTCAGATTTGACATTTTGGACGTGGGGGTAATTTCTCCGGTGCTCTGTTACATCAAAATTATCAATAAACTCGTCCGGGCAATTAATGTCCCAAACTAACAGCTGTCTATAAAACCGAGATAAAGGGGACAGATAAAGGTCGACTCCAACCCTCCGAGTTTCTGGCCGCTGAAGCCTCTGGCCAGAGTCCGCTGTGCACAGCGCGGTCGCCCGCACGCACCTGGCCCTGCGCTCGGGGCCGGTTCACAGCCCGCGGAGAAGGCAGGGTCCTCCCGGGGCGGAGGCCACCTCGGCGCGTTTTGCCCGAGAAAGCGCCCAGGCCTCCCAGCGCGGGGACACTGCACTCGGTCCAGACGGCCTCCGCAGGCCAGAGCAGGGGCCCCTCCTCCGCGGCCAGAGGCTGCGCCCCAATTAGGACGCAGGCTGGGGGAAGTGGGCTGATTAGGAGAAACCCAAGCCGGCCAGGCGGCGCGCCCCAGGTCTCCTTCTGCAGCGGCTCCAGCCCCGCACCCCCGCTCGGCGCCCTGGCGCGCCACAGGCCTCGGAGCCTCCGTGGCGCACCGCTGGACCCGAGTCCCGGGTGGCCGCGAAGCCGGCTTCCTGTCCCTCTCCGGGCAGGGCCTTCTTTGCAGCGGGATCTCCCAGGGTAGGGTAGGAGGCACCCAGGGGGCTGATGTAGGGAAATGGCCCCTGTTCCCTGGGGACGAGAGGCAGAGCCCAGCCTTCCCGCGAGGAGAGCCAGGGAGGCCGGAAGGGCCAGACCCGCAGGCAAAACAGCCTCCACACCCACGTCTGAGATTTCACACGCTTCTGCTGGACGGAGACCGCACTTGGTTGGACTGTGCCTTGCTCCGGGCGCATATCGGCCTGGACTCGCATAGGGGCCCTCGGGTGAAGGTCCCACCGTCATGGGCACACCAGGGTCCTGCACGTGCAAATTACAAACTTAAAACACGAAAGCGCCCCGCCTGGGGCAAAATTATATCGACGAACTACCTCGGCGGCTATGGGCTCGCTGGAACAGGGCATCCAAGGCAGAGTCCACCCACAGTCTCTAAGTACAGCTTAGGAGCTCGCCCTAAGCACCGCAGTCAAGGTGCCCTTAACCCCCCACGCTAAGGGCTGGAGGAGGGGAACTGGAAGGCTGTGAGCCATACATCTGGCGGCTTCTGGTAGGGGATTGCCCACCCTCGAGTGGCTTCTCCGCCAGGCGGACGCCCTGGGCGCTGCTGAGCCCCAGAGACTGACCCTGCTGACCGCTCCTTGCAGCCCCAGGTGGGAGGAGCTGGGGGCCTGGCAGGGCTTCACTCCTGGAGCCCAAGGGCCAGCAGGGGAAGGCACCCCAGGGGTGTTGGAGGGCCTGGCTCTCCCAGGTGCGTTGCGCCCACTATTTTCTCTTCTGCGTGGGGCTGGGGGATTTAGAGCAGGATGGGCAGTTTCCCTGGGAGGGAGAGAACAGTGGAGAGACAGCTGGAATCCCTGCCCAGCTGCCACCTGACCTGAGCAAGCCAACTCTGAGCCTTAGTCACCCGGCTCTGTCCTGGTGGGCCTAGGGGGTGATGGTTAAAGAAACCATGCTCTTAAAGAGCCAGGGACACCTAGTTCCCTAGCACCCAGATGGGAATTGCCACCAGACCCCTCACACTCTGGGGATCTGGTGATGTGTGCCCTTTGGGGGGGGGGCGGCACAAAAAGTCCAAGAATCCATATTCTAGGAGGGCCCCTTTGGGGACAGCTGACCACCCATCTTCCTTGGTATGCCTGGACTGTTCTTCCCGCCCCAGGGAAAAGGAAGACAGCACACACGCTCAAGTGATAGGCTCTTAACAACTGGTAGGGCCTGGGGCTACCATGTAGACCCACTGCCAGAATCTCCTATGCTCACGGAGCCTGGGAGGCCTGGGGCCTGGGATGCAGGCCACAGGGCGAAGAAAGGTAGGAGGGCCCTGCCCAGTGGCCTCCCCTCTGATGTTGATTCCCAGGAACTGCCCACATCAGAGGTGCCCGGGTGTCTGTCCAAACTGGCTTGACCTCTGGAGCTGGGGCCCAGAAATCTGTGGCTTCTGCAGCTTGCTAGGTGGTCCCAGCGAGTGCTACAGTTTAAACATCTCTGTTCCCCAGTGACTCTCTGGGCCCTGAGAGAGTCCTGGGGATGCAGCCCTGCTCTGCCTGGCCTCTGCTGCCCTCTCCTGCCTGCGGGGAACAATGGTTGGTGGAAAGAACCCGGGGCCCAGGCAAGCAGGCGTGATGGCCAAGACTGACCACGCAGCCCTGGCACGCGTGCCGCTCAGCGCTTCCCCACGGCCCCCTTAGGAGTCTTCCTGTGGCTCCTCTTCAAGGAGCAGAAACAGCTTGGAGAGGGTGGCTCATTCCAGACACAGAACAGGCAAGATGGAGAATTTGGATTCAGACTTAGGATTTTCTGACCCCCAAACCCATGTCCCTAACCATCTGCCTCATGGCTCCCGGACATCCATCTCGCTCCAGCCCCCTGTCCAGTGAACGAGGAGGACTGCTGACATGTGGTCCATGGTCCAGCCACCACGGGGGCGGTGGCAGTGGGCAGGCATGACAGGGGCTTCAAGAAGCTGCCCCGCTGTCAGCTGAGTGGGGAAGGGCCTCCTGGTGGGTGGGAGCCTGGTTAGCAGTCCCTGCTCAGACTGGTGACGTTTGCCTCCCTCCCAGGTGCTGGACCATGATTCTGGTTGGTTTCCACCATGCCCACCCACTGCGCTTCCTTTGCTCCCTGGCCCCTCAGTCCAGTGGGGGGAGAAACCCCATAAACCAAGGGCAAGGTGGAGGGAAGCCAGGTGGGTGACAGGCTGCTTCCTCCTGTCCAGTGCTTCTGTCTTCTGGGCATGGACATCTCAGAGCTCTGGGCATGCCTTTGAGGAGGTACCTCCCTTCTCTACCTCTCCTGCAGGCAGCCCCTGGAGGGTGGCTTCTTTTCCCCGCCCTCCCCTCCCCACTGTCCCCCTTTGGGGCTTAGGGTGCATGCTGTCACTGGGCTCCAGCCCCTGCAGCTACATCCCTTGAGGCCCGGGTTGGGCAGGGACGAGTGATGACTGATGACGGATGTTTGCAGGTATGTCGTCAGCATGGAGCAGGACAGCGGGAGAGCCGCCTCCAGTGCTGCCTTCCCTTGGAATGGGAGCATCCTGACAGAACAGTGCCATGGCCACCCAGCTGGCTGGATGAGCGGAAGGGCCCAAGCAGAGTGTGGGTGACTGACTGCAGGGCAGCAGGCACTACTGAGTGGGCGAGTGCGCCTGTCCCTTTCTGAGCACACGGGCTCCTTGTGCTCCCCAGCATTTGGATACATAGGGCTATCTGCTGCCCTCCAGCCATTTCCAGCACCTGGACATGGGTCACATGCGTGCTCTGAGAGAGGATAACACTGAGGCCAGGCCCCACTGGGGGTCCCGAGTGTTGGGTGGGGCAGCAACCTGGTCAGGGCCCAGAGACAGCCCAACCTGGTGCCTGCAGATCCTTGTGTTGGTTACCTCCGCTCCGCCCTTCCCTGTCCCATGGCGTTGGCTGTCAGCCTGGGGACAAAGACCAGAGGAAGCCTGCCCAGAGTGGACAGACCACTGGGCCAGGTACCAGCTGCTCTCTGTGCTTCATGTCAGCAGCTTGGCGCTGTGGTGGCCAGCAGGCTCTGGTCTGGGAACAGTATGTTGCGGGGTGGGTCATCTTAATCCAGCTAATAGCATCGCACATGTTTCCTGACTGTGGAAGTGGGCCAGGTCTTCCAATGTCCCTGGAAAAGGATAAAACAGCTGTGTCTTTGGAAATGTCCCTCAAAGCAAGCCTCAAGTCCCCACACGGTGTTTTCTGCTGATCCTGGCTCTCTGCTGCGACCCCTCAGCAGGCACAGCTGTGGGAGCAGAGGAGTGGGCCACCTCTGTCCAGCAGGTACTGTGAGAGGAAACCCTGGACAAGGGGGCAGCTGCCGGTGAGGGGAGGCTGGGCAAGGTGGTGCAGGACCGGGCCCTGGGGACAGGAGGGCAGCAGGTCCCAGTGCACTTCCCAGGGCTCCTCCAGGCAAAGCCCACCCCAGTGGTGGTGGTGGTGAGTGGAAGCTCAGGGCGGGGAGACCCCTTGGAAAGGAGAGGAGGAAGGCAGAGTCTGTCCATCTGCCAAGGCGGGGGTCGGGGGGGGGGGTGGGGGGGTGGTACTATTTCTCCATGAGGACGCAGCGCCACCTGCTGTCCCCTTCGCACAACCAACGCTGGGACCTAAAAATGATCCCCCAAGGAGATGCCACAGGTGAGTGGCTGTGGCAGGCACAAATGACGCTGCATTTGGCATTTCAGAGCCGTTGACCTTTTCAAAGGAGGACTTGGCTTTGTTTGGAACGGGGTCAAACTAATGGAGTCTTTCCTAAGTGTACAAACAGCAGGGCTCCTTAAGAAAGCTTCAGAGAGATGACAACAAAGGCAAGAGACCCGCCCCTCCATCCCGGGCAGCTGTGTTGGCCCAGCAGACAGTTGTCTGTGCACCGAGACCTGGCAGCCCGGGAGGAGTTGACGGTGTATGTGGCAGTGAAGGGCAGAGTCCAGTGCTGACCCTGCCCTCTTCTCCCCTATGAGCAGGACGCTGGGAAGGGCTGTGGGGCTCCAGTGAGTTCATCTGCGAGGAAACAGGCGCAGAGAGGGTGAGCGAATGGCAGGCGGCTCCAGCTGGGACGCACCGCGGCCCCGTGTGTGGGGCCAGCACCCTGTTCTTGGCGTATTCAATGGTGCCTCTGTTCTGACTAGCTGCTGCGGCTTCCAGGGAGCCCTGAGGCCCTGGCTGTGGTCAGGAGAGGGCAATCAGGTTTCCCTGGGGACAGCCTGCTCCCTCCTGATGGGGAGAGGCTCCAGGGGTCTGGCCAGCTTTGCTGTGGGACCCTGAGAAGTCACAAAAGCTCTTGGACCCACGCCTTCCTTACCTGGAAGATGGGAAGGTACAGAGCCAGCTTCCCGGCTCGCTGCAAGGGCGGAGTGGGCTGCCCCCCCCCCCCCCCGAGCTGGAAGGCGTCTAGTTTGCTCACAACTCAGCACCTAGGGCCTGGTTTATTGCCTCCAAACCTCCAAAGTGCAAAATGTCCACATCACATGGTCACATGTCAGCTCCTATTCTAACCCTCATGATTAATGGACATCAAGAATAAAGGCTTCCATTCACAGGAAGAAGTTCTGCCCCACGGGAGGGACAGGAGTGTGGTTGCCAATTTAAAAGTCTCTGCTTGTTTGAAAGATTGCCCAGACAGTCCCCAGCAAAAGCCTCAGGTGACCACTAAGATTGGCAAGGGACCAGATCGGAGGCAGGAGGGGCTGTGAGGAGCTCCCAATTCTCTGAGCCTCAGCTCCAGCAGGGAGCAGGGAGAAGTGGGCAAAACCCTGTGCCAGCCCCTTGATTGGCTCGGGCCACCAACACCAGCTACTTCATCAAGCACACGGAGCAAGGCTGGCCCAGCCATCGTCCTTTGGGCTGGCAGCAGGGGTGGTGACTAAAGGCTGCAGGGCAGACCCCATGCAGCGCGGGCAGCCCTGCTGCCCCAGATGCCCCACAAACACCTGCAGAGCAGACGGGGTCTGAATCAATTTGCCCAGCCCACATGGCTTTGCCTCTTCTGACTGTAGGTGGCAAGCTGGGGACAATCCACTATAAAGGAAAGCACATGGGCACTTCTAACTTCCTCAGAGATCTGGTGCAATGGAAATCTTGACCCTAACCCTACTCACTAAGGTTACTGTGGACCAGTCAATTCCTCCTCCCGTATCTCGGCCTCCTCATCCGTGGAACAGGGTGTCTCTCAAAAGTGGCCGTGAGGACTGCGCATGCATCTGCCCACCTATGACTCATGTCTCTATATTTATTCAGAATACAGTTTTATGTCTGTGCTTGATAATTTACACACGAGCATCACTTCCTTTAGAAGAAATGCTGCGCCGACTACTCAGGGCAGGAGCAGTCCTGAGGAGCAGAGTGCTTAACACGGCGCCGGGCCACACTCACTCCGGGCTGCCCTCTGAGGGGTCGTGGGAACTGTCCATCTCTGCTCTGCCTGGCCCAGCATGGGGACTCCCGAGAGCCTGCATCCCTTCCATGGGGGTGCCCCCTTGCCTGGGGCTGGCCCTCAGTGCCTTGCCCTGGGCCTCTGCAGGGCGCTCTGGGCTTCCTCCCCGCATGGGGCTGGACTCCAGGAGTAGAGCTGCCCGTGTCTTGGGTCTGCTCGTGCAAGCGGGCACGGCGTGACAAGCAGGTTGAGGTGGCTCTTCAGGACTGCCCAGAGCTCTGGGGAGGAGTTTCACGGCTTCCCCTCACTGAGAGCAGTGCAGCGAGTTGGAGCTACTATGACCAGAGGAAGAGGTGGGCATCCTCCTTGGTCCTTTGTGCAGAGACATGCAGCTCAGCCCGCAGGTGGCCGGGGGGCAGTGGCGAAGGCTGCCCACGCCCCTTCCTTCCTGCCTTTATATATGGTGCAAGATTCACTTTGAAGAGAGGCGGCCACGGACACCCCTGCCCCCAAATCAGTGGTCTTCAGGCGGGGACATCTGTTCTATTTGGAACACTGGTTGCCTGGATCCAGAGAAGGCAGGTGAGCTCAGCCACCTCCCGACTCCTTTCGGCCAAGCAGAGAGGGAGAGTGGGGATTCTGGAAGCAGAGTCCCCAGTGCACAGGCACTTCCCAGGACTGGGGAGCAGGCAGGTGGGAATGCTCCAGAAGGGGGCAAAGGGGACCTATCTGGCAAAGACTGAAAACTTCACATTACACACCAAGTAAGATCCACGGGCCTGGTCCTCAGCACTGTGCTGGGGGCGGGGGCAGGGTCAGCTGTGCTGCAGAGGACAGTGCTCCACCCTCCCACCCCTTTCAATGTTCTTGTCCGGCACCCCGCCCACCCTCCTTCCAACACATGTCCTGTGGTGGGCTTTCCTGGGCAGTATTGCCACGGCCACTGTCCCAGCCTGTCTCACTTGCAGGGAGTGTGTGGGGCCACTAATTGGGAACTAGGGAGCCAATGGCACCAAAAGACCTGGGAGATGGGGCCACAGAGGACAGGCAGGACTTCTCCAGGGCCTGCCAGGATGCTTGGGGCTGCCAGTAAGATCTGCAAGTCTGCTGACATGGGGCTTCCTTCTGAGAGTCACATTTGGATCTGCACTTCGCCAGTGCTACCCAGACAACGCTGACGGGTCCCCCGCCCTGCCCGCGAGGTGCTCCCCACCCCACGCAGCCTAGCGGTGAGAAGGGGGCAGAGGCAGACAGCGAGCTGGCCTAGCAACAGTGCAGCTCAGCCAGGCTGGCCGGGGGGGACAGGGAGGCACAAGGAGCGCCCCTCCGCCCGCAGGGAGCGGTGCATGTTGGGCCTGGCCAACAGCGCTCGCGCCCACGCTCTCCGCCAACCTGCAGCCAGGCTCCGTGATGGAGACACTCGCTGCGTGTACTAACAGAGTGGCAGGTATTTGCCTTCAGCACTCCAGAAACTTAGAAGTAAAGACACAGGTCTTGAGGGGTATCTCTCCTGCCATTGTTCCAAGAACGACTGGGGTAACAATAAAGAAGCCTGCGTGTGGGAGCAGACGTTCGAACAGAACACATGGGATCACAGTGGTTCTGAATTAAGGGGTGACCTTCCTTTTCTTGGTATTTTCTGAGCACTCTATACAGCTGTTTTCAGAGCTGCGTCGCCCTTACGTCTGGGTTGGCTGCTCCCAGAGGGACTCCTACACACCCATCCTTTCCAACAAATGGCAGAGCTGAACCCACCAGTCCGTCAAGCACCCTGCAGGAGAGTGGGGGTGCCGAGGCCTGGCCCAGCCCCAGCTCTGCTTGTTGGGGTCACTCCTGAGCATTTACTCCCCAGCTTGCCAGTGTCCTGGTGCCCTGAGACCCCTGCTGGGACCTTGCTTGCCACTTGAGGGGCCATTCCAGGGAGAAGCTGTCATCTAGAACCCAGAGGTGTCTACCCAGCTCTGTCACTCCTTCTGGAAGTGTCATTTTATTCGAATAAGCCCTGAGCCACCTGACAGGCAGGTTCCAGGCACTTACTTGTTTTTGTTGTTATTGCATTAAAAAAAATAAATTCTATAGTTAGTGGGGGACTCGGCTGTGGGCCACAGAGGACAGGCAGTGCCCTCCCAGACGACTTCAGAAGGAAGCTTCGGGGAGAGCCTGCAGCCTGACCTTCCAGCTGACTGACCTCCTGCCAATCAATCAGTCTTTTATTTTATGACAATTTTAATTTCTAAGAATTAAGGGAGTTTCAGATCCTCTGCGCGTTGACAGGTGAGGTGGGGATCACTTTGGTGGCCGTGGACAGAGAGCCCCAGGGACAGGCTCACCTGGACTCACTGACTGGTCTAACTGTGCAGCATGAGGGTGGCGCTGGTGTGGGGCACAGCTGGGCACAGGAGCTGAGGTGGTGGCGTCAGGGCTGGGCCCGTCAGCTCTGATGGCCACCTGTGCAGCCACGTCTCCCATCCCAGGGGCGGCCTCAGCTCTGGTGCAGGCAGGGAGCAGGCAAGACAGGGAGCTGCCATCTTAACGGGCACCGCAGCAGGAAAACCGGGACCCAGGTCCCAGAGCTTCTTGTTTCAAGGTGTGAGCAAGGTCCCCCTCTGGGGGCCTAAGGACATGCACACACCCTCTCGGGGACACTGGGGCAGCACAGGAGCCTCAGAGGCGCCCCCACATCCCCTGGGCTACAGACTCAAGTGCCGCAGCAGCAGCACGGCAGGACGTCACACTCCTCCCCAGGGTGGCTCTAGCTGCCTGGGCAGCCCCCAGGTGACTTGTTGTGCGGTCTGGCCAGGGCCACAGTCAGGGCACTGTCACCCAGGTGCAGGCCCTGCAAGCAGGAGACGGCCTGCTGGGCTGCAGCCAGGTCTCGGTAGTGGAGGAGCGCCCTGTGCTGTGGCCCCCGCCAGGAGAGTTGCAGGGGCGCCACCCGGAGCTCACGGAGGGCTCTCTTCAGGTCCCTCACGCGGGCATCGTGGGGGAGGTTCCCCACACACACGGTGGCAGTCGGCGCGTCCTCCCCCTCACGGGGGCCACAGGCTGCTTCCAGGGAATCTGCCCCTGGCCGGGGTGCATCGTGGGGCCTCCTGACCGTGCCTGGCAGTGCTGGGTGCTGGCTGGCGGATCCCAGGAAGGGCTGGTGCTCAGCCTGAAGAGCGACGTCCTTCCCCGCCCGCTTCTCTCGGTCGCGGAGGCTTCTGAGTACCGGGATTTTCCCAAGCATCTCAGGGCTGATCTGAAAGAGTCAAGCAGTTCCGGCAAATCTAGGGTCCGGGGTCACCGTAGGGCACCTGCCAGACATTCCCGTGAGGAACTGACCACCCGCCTGCTGCACAGGTGGGGTGTGCGTGCTGCGAGGCTCTCGGGGAGGAGAGCCCCTCTTTCTAACAGACACCGCCTGCAGCTCTGGTCCCCACCTTCAGCCCCGGGGAGCTCTGCACCGGTGACGCTGCTCTGGACTGTCCCCCACGTACCATGGTGGCTGCAGAAACCAGCTCAGGAGGCCAAAAAGGAAGCCTGGGCTCTTTCCAGAGAGGCACCGAGGGTCACGGGCATTAGGGTCACTGGTCACTGGCACTGCCCTTGACTAGCCCCAGAACAGTGGGTTTCTGCCCCAGTGAGCTGTGGGTGGGACAAGGTCCTGCAAGGGCCACAGGGGTCCTCTCGCTACTGAAGGAACACATCAAGGGGCCAGAAAACGCAGAGACTGGATACCACCTCTGCTGCCAGCCACCAGCCGTGGGTCACCAGGCTGTGAAATGAAGTCACATGAAGTCCAGTCGCCTCTGGGGCGTCTGTGTGAGGGCTCCGTGTAGATCAGTACCATCCACCAGGGAGGCCCCTGAGCTGCCCCACAGGCCGTGGAAGAGGTGGCTGGGAGCAGGCCTGGCCGCTGGGCCTGTTAGCACAGCCGGTCCCAACTGAACGGACTGAACTGGCTGGACGCAGCTCCACTGTGAAGCCCGGTGGCTGTCAGGGGACAGCTGTATGAGGTGCTACTGGGGAGTGAGCAGTAGGCAGGCCAGGGGCCACAGTGCCAGCCAGGCCTCGACAAGTCCCCTCCGCAAGGTGCTTCTGCTGGTGGACCAGCAGGTACCGCGCTCCCACAGCAGCATGAACGTCGGCTGCAGGTCCGCACCAACGCTACTTGGTCATATTGTGCCACAAACCAAAGGGCTGCAGTAGCACCGCCATCCCACCGCGCTCAGAGCCCAGGACCTCACGACGGACCTTCCCCGCCAGGGCCTGGCTCTCCCAAGAGCCACTCCCCGGTTCTGAGCATCAGTTCCAGGGTCGTCCAAACTCCAAGAGGAGCCGGGCCCCAGGCAGAACCAACATGTGAGGGCAGGGCTTAAGCCCAAATGGCTTAGAGAGTCCAGGGCCTCCTCCCCGAGTCGCCGTCCTCCTCCATTTCCCCACCGTCTCCAGCACCAGGTGCAAAACCATCTTCCCCTTTTGGTGGAAGGCCTTCCTTGGGTCACAACCCTCTGTGCCCGAGCCCTGTCCTGCCTCCCTGGCAGGCACCCTCTGACTGGCTTCTGAATGACGAGGACTGGCTGCTTCGGGTGACGTGCTTCTTCTAGTCGCCTGCGGCTGACATGAATGAACCAAGACGCAGACAAGCTGGGGCACACCTGGATCGTGGCCCACCGCCTCTCCCTGATCCCAAGCAGTCCCCAGGACGTGGGACGTGTCCACGTGTGAGCGCTCTTGTGGCTCCCTTCGCATTTCTCTTAAGACCTGTAGAATGTCACCATGGAGACTCCCCACTTCCTAGAGAGGCCCCCAGAATCTTGCTAGCGTGGCTGCAGCTGATCAATCCTCCTGATGACCACAAGGTGGCCTCGCAGCAACCTTCCCAGGCTCTTGCTCCTGGTTCCAAGGAGTGTGGCCTCACTGCCACCTATGGGCATGGCCTCCACTTCCAAGGAAGCATGGGCCCGGATCCCAAGGTGAGTTCAAGCTCTTCAGGAAGACTCAAGGGACATGCTGACTATCAGGAAGGTGTGAGCACCTCTCCCGGGCACTCCTGGTGTCCTTGGAGGGCCTGCCCACCCCGTTCCAGGTCGGGCACACTGTTCCCATCCACTCTGAAGAAGCCACACCACCAAGCAGGAGACCCAGCTGCCGGGCAAGGCCACCAGGCCGAAGCCAGTGCCAGCATCCCGTGTGGTTTGCCCTTGGAGGCAGATGTTCTCTCCAGGCCTGGGGACAGGACCCTCCCTTGCTGGGTGACTAGGCTGGGTGGACCAGGCAGTGGTGCTTGCTGGCTGCCTCCCACGAGCGTTTCCTCCCAGGAGCAGGAGGAGTGCTGGCTGCCACCAGACTCAGCCTCGGGAGCTGCCGAGGTGACCTGGGCTGCGTGGAAGTCACAGAGGTGACACCTCAGGGAGCCTGGCCCTGCCTTCCACGCCAGCGCCTCTGCCTGAGACCCAGGTCCTGGAGGACAGATCCAGGTCCTGTCTGCAGGGCAGGTGGGACTTGGGGGGGGGGAGGGACCGGCTGTGCTGTAGCTGGGACGGGAGGAGACAGCTCAGACAGGGAAAAGCAACTGGTGGGAGCCGCCTCTAGTCACCGGTGCCCGCTACAGTGCTAGACCTTGAACCTGGATGCCTCTCGTAACCCGAGTTTGGAAGCAGAGTCTTAGCCCAGCCTGGAGATGGGACACAGGAGCTCAAGTGTTCGAAAACTGCACAGTGACTGTGATGAACCCCACACCAGAGCACCCACAGTGGATGGCCACAGGAGCTCCTGCTCCCCCGAGCTGCCGCCAGGACCCACCTTGGACCACGTGATTCCTGCCGGCTTTGGGCGCTTGCAGCCCGTGGAGATGACCCTGGTTGGAGTGAGGATGTAGTCCACAGTGAGGTCATGGTCCTCGAGGAGCGCCTCAGGGATGTCCACCACCTGGTCAACAGCAATGGGGAAAGGAGCTGACGGGCAAGACGGCGCAGCCGTGCTCATGTCCCTTGGCAGGAAATGCGAGGCTGGCTGAAAAAGCGCCCTGCCCACCTGGGGTGAGGTCAGCCTCTGCACCACCTGCGGCCCCACCCCACCACTCTCACACCCCCCACCCGCCTGCTCAGGGCAGCTGGCAGTGAGCAGCCCTCGAGACCAGCCGGAAGGAAGCACCTGGCAGTCATGGACGATGGTGACCACTGGCGTCCCCTCGTGGACGGCTCCCATCGACACCATCATGGCGTATTCAAGGTCAGCGTAACCTTCTCCCTTCCCAATCCTCCAGCCTAAAAGAGAGCAGGCGTTAGCACCTGCATGGGCCTGGGTGCCACGGAGGGGCAGGTTCCTTCAGGGCACTGCGGCGGGAGAAGCTTGAGCCCAGTGCGCCAGCCTCCACAGCCACCTCCAGAGCGACGCACAAGCAGCCCTGTGAAAACGCACCGTGGACAAAGGGCCTGTTAAAGCCTGGAAAGGGAACAGCGGAGGCCTGCAGAGCCCCGTCGGGGAGCCTCACACTGGAAACGAGAACGTTCTCAGAGACTGAGAGCAGGCAGCAAGACATTCTGACCCATGTACCCAGAGGAGAGATGAAAGGTGCCAGGTGGGCGCAGCTGAAGGGGACGTGCCTCCTGGGACACAGGAGACGCAGCCTGGGCAGGGCCAGTGCAAATGGTGGCACAAAGGAGCCAAGGAGAGGCGAGGGTGTGGCTTAGGCTTCACAGCCCTTTGGCCCCGCCAACCAGCCAGGGGACAGTGAAGGTTAATGGCCTTGGGCCCCAGTGTGGACCTGCACTTCCCACTGGTCAGAAGCTCCAAGAGTTCCGAGGCCTGGGCCTTGGCCAGCATCGTCCCCGCGCCCTGGGAGGACACGTCACTGCTGCTACTTCCCCAAGGTCAGACCTGCTGCTTACAATCAGAACCTTCAGCCACGCACAGAAACGAGAGGACTCAAGGGGAAAGCAGCAAAGACCAGAGAGTTCACAGAACAAGAAGCTGAGTGTGATCTCAGCCATCAGGAGGCTGAGGCAGGAGGATGCAAGTTCAAAGCCAGCCTCAGCAATTTAGCAAGGCCCTAAGCAACTGTTTTTAGTCTCAAGACAAAAAAAACAGAGCTGGGGATGTGGTTGTTTCCCTGGGTTAAATCTCAGTTCCAAAAAAAAAAGAAGGCAGGTGACATGGAAACAGGAGAGGAGTGCTCAGGTCACTGTTTTAACCATGAAATCACAGCAGACCAGAGGCTGAGGGGCTGCAAGTGCCGGACTGTCAAGGAGGCACTGGGGCCCGTGAGCGACCTCCAGGGGGCTTCTGCAACACCCACCAGCTGAGTCCTGCAATGCCCCTCTTGGGCACTGCCCACAGACTGCCCCGAGGCACACCTGTGCCTCCAGACAGGCCCATGCTCCACTCTGTCCCCAGCCCCACCTGGTGGGACTACAGCGGCCGTGACATAAGGGGCTCTGCAGCGGCTCTGAGGCAAGGGCCCTGGTAACACATCGGCCTTGGTGGCACACTGTCACCCTCTGTGAGAGTGGGAGGAGGACGTGTGCAGAGTTCAACCTGAGGTCACAACGCTGCACACACGCTGATGGCAACGCTGCCAGTGGCCCTAGAGGGGCCGGGGAACATTCCAGGTGCGGTACACAATGCTGGTGCACATGTGTGCCTGCACTGGGGACACTGCTAGTGGCCCTGGAGGGGACAGGGAGCGTTCCAGGTGGGGCTTTCTGGGCTGTTCAGTGCCCCACACCTGCGCATGGCTAGTTCACTCTTTAAACTGGAGGCTGAGTGGGGGCAGCTGAGAATCGCCTTCTCTCCTTCACACGTCTGAACAGGAGGCTCCTGACCGCCTTCTACAGAGAGCGCCGCTGACCCTGGCCCAAGTCCCTCACCTGGCCTCAAGGCCTTGGATGAGCCAGCCCTCCTTGCCAAAGGGCCACATCCCTGCACCCACCGCCCCTTCCCTTGGGAGCCTCTCCTGCCCCTCCTGCCTCCACAGCACTGGAGAGCAAGGGCCAGCCCCGAGGCCCCTGGGGAGTTGGTGTCCCACGCAGCGCTGGAGGGCCCCTCCCCACCCCCACTCCTGTTGGCACCAACATGTTTCCACCCCCACGTCTGCATGCCACTCACAGAGGGCCACGGCGGAGACCTCCAGCACACAGGGCTGCCTGACACGGCAGGCGCACGGGAAGTCGCGTGTGCAGGTGAGCTCAGCCTGACAGCTCAGCAAGGCGGGCCCGGTGCACCCTGTGCCAGCTCAGCTGGGGGCTGGGAAAGAGGGCACAGCACGGGTGGAGACTGCGAGGGCGTGTGGACCTGCCCCGTCATGTGGACAGCAGCAGTCTGTGTCACCGGCCACACTGGCCACAGGACACCTGGAGCTGCTTGGGAGGCTGCAGGCCCCTGGGGCACATGAGGCTGGGAACCGGTGCCCCAGGCTGGCTACCCAGCTACGCAAATGAGCTCAGCCCACGTCTGCTGACCTGAGAACCTGAGCGCACCAGAAGGGAGCTGCCCGAGACAGTTCTGTAAAGCCCGTCTGGGACCACGAGGGAGGAGCGGGTCAATTCTTCCCCAAGAATGACAAATGAGGTGGCTCAGAAGAGGTGCCCACCCAGGAAGCAGGGCACCCATCAAGGCTGGCACACGGCACCCGCAGCGGCCTTGCCGGAACAGCGCCCACCAGACTTGCTGGTTCCAATCTTACCTTTTTCAGACACAGCAACAGATCCCACGACAACTAGATCCACAAGGACTCTGGAATCCAAGCCGACGGGCACACTGAAGTCCCTCACCCCCTGTGAAGGACAGCTGAGCTGCAGGTGGGCCGTGGTTCCTCACTTCCCATCACCACCCAGGAGCAGGTTGGCCAACCTCCTGGCTGGCTGCATACCCGCGGCAAGGCAGGGTGTTCCGGGAGCACCAGACCAGGGCAGGCGGGATTCCCACTCTTTCCCAGGAAGGTGCCGGGGGAACTAGTGGCAGTCGCAGACACTGATTCCTCTAAGGCGGAAGAGCACAGTGGGGAGCTCAGGGGAGCCACAGGGACTGAGCCAGACCCTGGCCAGACCCCGCACAGCCGTGGAATCTCAGTGCACCCTGAGCCTCGGGTTTCTCACCTGCAAGGCAGGGCCACCACACTGGCCTCACGGACCAGTGCTGGGACGACTCGAGACAACGGAGGCTGAGTGTCCAGCACATCACTGTCCGACTCACTCATTCAAGGTACAGTGCGGGAAGCCGTTATCTTTACGAAAAGCGCACTCACTTCCCAATACTACTTCAACCCAAACGCACTCCGAGTACATCCACTTCTCCTAAGAAATGGAGGCCTGGGCTGGGGATGTGGCTCAAGCGGTAGCGCACTCGCCTGGCATGCGTGCGGCCCGGGTTCGATCCTCAGCACCACATACAAACAAAGATGTTGTGTCCGCCGAAAACTAAAAAATAAATATTAAAAAATTCCCTCTCTCTCTCTCTCTCTCTCTCTCTCTCTCTCTTTAAAAAAAATAAATGGAGGCCTGCAGGTGAAGCCACATAGTCACGGTGCTCACACCTGTCCACCAGGACGTCTAGGGACTGGTCCTCACATGCCCACGAGGAACAGCACCTGGCAGGCCTTCAGTGTGGGGCTAAGCCCCAGCCCCAGGTCACTGTGGGACAGCAGGAAAGCCGGCGTGCCCTTCCCTGAGGCCAGGGGCAGGTCCCCCAGCTCCAGGGATGGTAGGGCTCACAAGCAGGGACACTGACCAGAACCATGGCTGAATCTTATTTGCTATTTACCCACATGTATGTGTGTATGTGTATCTACATTTACCTTATTGCGTTTATTTTCATAAGCCACAGCAGATTCTATTTTTGGAATATCAATAAATAATCTTATACGTTAGACTTAAGGGGCAAATCCCTTAAAAAAAAGAGAATCTTGAATTACCTCATTTGTTATTCTCAGATTAGGAATCTGATTACCTGGTATTTACTTTAGGATTCTTTAAAAAACCACCAAAGTTTATTTAACTATAAAATGCAAAACGAATTTTATCATGCTGTACTTCACTATAATGTTTACACACTTTGGTTTCACTAGATGAGGCATTCAAGAAAATCTAATGCATAAAACTGTACGTCATTATTCTGAACTGGTGAGGCAATTTCCAATTAGCATATCCTGGAAATCCATCCTACCTCCGCAGTTCTGGTAGGGATAGATGAACAGACCAAAATAAGATACCCAAGGGACACCTCAGCCAGCGCTAGAGGGCGCCAGAGCCCGGGGAACTGGCTTCACCTTCACCTTTTTAAACAATAATTTATGAACCGCCAACTTGGTGCAAAACAGAAACTGAATTACAGAAACGGAATCCATTTCTTCATAGTTCATCCACTTGGCTTCCTTGGCGGCAGAACCGTGGACTACTCTACGTTCTGTCCATTTGGCAACTCACAGTGTCTTCAGATCTTCCCCGGTGCACGACCATTTGGAGCACTCACCTGGGAGGTGGCACATTTTCTCAACATCTCTTTGTTGGCTCCAGGAGGAGGTGTGATCCTATTAAACAATCCTGTTCTCAGCCGGGGCGTTGGAACCAGCAAGGTTTTTTTGCTCTTTTGAGGAAAAAAGATAATCAATAAATTACAAAATTAATTTTTTATATGGGACTTTCTTACATGTTTGCACCGAGTCAGGAAGGGAAGACAATGACTAGTATTTGCATATTTTGGTGTGTGCCAAGGAACTCACTTGTTTGCAAGCCCAATTACATGGTGTGTGCTGGTCATTGTCCTTCAGCCACTTGCCGTGTACGTTCCACAGACCTGCTCTCTACTGTACCTGCCACTTGAAAATCTAAATGGAGATCTGTTGGGGGGCTGGGGCTGGGCTCAGTGGAAGCACATTGCCTAGCATGTGTGAGGCACTGGGTTTGAGTCTCAGCACCACATGAAAAAATGAATAAATAAAAACAAAGGAATCGGGTCCATTTACAACTAAGAAATAGAAAAAATATATATGTTCTCATAAAGATTCCAGTCAATTTCCCTGTACCTCTGTCCTCTGCACTATGCAGTTACGATGCGCTAATCTGCAATGGATTCAGCATAGCAAAATCAATGGTATTCCATCAAATGTTTTTATCTGCCTTGTTCAACAAGCCACATCCAAGATCAAGATTTTATATGACCGTGTGTGACACCCGCTTTCTTCTACCTAATTCTCAATCTCTTACGGTGTGGCCTAGAACAGGGGTTCTCGGGGGGCCTGGGCAGCAGCAGGGGTCAGCAGCTCCTGGCACCTGTTACAAATGAATCAGATGCTCTGGGTATGTGGGCGGGCAGGGCAGCTATTTGGGCTTTAAGAGGCTTCTGGATGCTTCTAGTACACCTGAGAGCTTGGAAACCACTGGCCAGTCTCTGCAGATTATGTGAGGGCAGCCCATGAAGCAGACAACAGCATTTGTAAAAGGCTCTCATGTCAATAGTGCATTCTGGTTTTTCAGCAGACCAACCCAAGACCACTAAGACTTATGAAATCAGTGTGGCTTAAAGAAAGATTCTCAGCCACGAGCAGGCACTCAGCACACGCTGCTGTCATTGCCGCAGGCTGCTTCTCTGCATGGCAGGGTCCAGGTCTGGGGCGCCACACGTGTCCTGGACAGTTCCCTCCTTCCCAGGAGCGGTACAGCCCCAAGCTCCTCGGTCTCCGCCCCGGCTGTGCAGCAGCATCACCTGATGAGCTCTGAGAGTTACCGAGGTCTGCAGCCGGCTCCTGGGCCTGCACCAGCACTGGCAAGGCCAGCAGCCCCCACCGCTCCCAGGCGACACTCATGGGCAGCCAGGGGAGGCAGAGGCTGCCCTCGCCAGTGGTCCCCAGCTGCCTGCAGGAAGCACTCCTACCCAGAGTCCTGATCAGGAAGGGGGACTGAGCCACTCTGGTGGGGCCCAGGGACTGTGTGTGTGTGTGTGTCTTTTTTGCCACCACTTCCCAGTGCCCAGCGGAGGCTCGACAGCTCAGGAGTCCACCATGGCACCCAGCAGCACTCCTCTCCTGGACTGGGCTAAGTCTGACCCCACAGGCCAAGACACTGGCCTCTGTGCTCTGAGGCTGACAGAACGCCCTGCACCTCACACAGGAGGGCCGGCTCCGGGGTCAGACTTGGCTCTGCCACGACTCGACACTTCCCCCTCCGTGTCTGGGGCCCTCCGTTGTCATATGGGCAGGGAAACGGCTCCCAGAGATCTGCTGGATAACTGAAGGGAGTGCCACAGAGAAGGCGTGCGGGGAACGGGGACTCGCAGCACCACCACCCAGGCTGCCCCTCAGGCTTGGCAGGTGTGACTTCCAGTTCCCAAGAGGGACTCACGGTGGGAAAGCACTGCTGGCCACAGCTCTGCCTCTGGAAAGTCCTCGGGGCGGGGGCCTGTCTGCAGCTGAACCACAAGCAACAAGACCCTCTCCTCCTAGGGCTAATTTAAAAACCCAGAGCAGCACCCCCACATCGCCCTCCTTCTCCTGGCCAAACCACCTCTGGTCTTCACTTTACCACCTGGCGGGGAAGGGCCCTGGAGTCACTGGACTTGAGGAGAGAAGGGAGAACTGAGCCACCCCACGTGCCGCAGCCCAAGGCAGACTTCCAGAGACCCGGCAGCAGCGGGAGCCCCAGGGTCAATCACCAGCAACAACTCGTTTCAGCCAAACGTTAAAATGAACAGGGACCTTGGACATCACTGCCCTACAGCTTCACCTGGGGTTCATTTACGTACTTATTTGGGTTTTATAGCAGCTTAAGAGTTATAAGTATCAAATTTATACCAAGTTCTATATTTATGCATTTAAGTCAGGTTATAATAAATTAATTTAAATCAACCCTTTGCAAGGGGCCCGTGCACTTGAGAAAGAGTACTGCACTCTGCATCCTGGAACGCATTCATGAAATTTCTTAAAAACGAGCTATCACGTTTCAAACAATGACAACATTACAAAAGCAGCAAAAAGAAATGGCCACAGGTGAGCCTGTCCTGCTGAGGTGCAACAGCACCACAAAGGCCCAGGGCTCTCATTTGGCACCCTCTGTCTCTGAGCTTGGACGGTCCAGGGCTGGCTGACACCGGCTGACCAGTGAGGCGCTTCTGGACTGTGCTGGAGAAACCCGCTCGGAGAGCCCTCTGCACTGGGAGTCACAAGCATCGTCACTTGCCAGCCGCTGGAGAGAGGGCCCTCGGGGCCAGGTGGCGTCTGGGGAAGCAGGTTACCTGCAGTGCCAGCAGCCGAACGCCTTCTAGAGGTTTGTCAGGGTCCACTTTCACTTCCTGCGTCCTGGCAAAAACTTCTAGGTCTTTGAGGTTCTGGCAAGCCCGGTGAGACCCCTATTAGGCGGACAGAGAGCAGCACTTACATCCAGGACCAGGAAGCGCGCATTCTTCTGGGGAGCGTCGGGATTCACTTTGATGGTCCTGGCTGTTCTGAACACCTGCAAACGCGGGAAGTGCTCCGCGGCACGAGAGGCGCCCTGTTTAAATGCAATCCCGCGTTACCAAGAGGACAGGGATCCCGAGGGGCTTGGTCAGCCCCCACCTAGACGGCAGGGTCAGCTTCCTTTTTCCTTTTGGTGCTGTGGGGTGAGCCCGGGGGCGCTCCACCAACGAGCTGCAGCTTTCACCTTTTGACCCAGGATCTCACTAAATTGCTGGGATTGGCCTTGAACTCGGAATCTTCCCACCTCAGACTTCTGAGTCACCAGGATCTAGAGGTGTGCCCTGGAGGGTGAGCCAACTTTAAGACAGACGCTAAGGATCACGGGGGGAACATCTGGGAAAGAGGGCAGGGTCAGTGGACTAAACTAGGAACTTGGTCTTCACTGAAATAAAACACACATTCCCCAAGTGGAGAGTTTGACGGGTTCTCACAGATTCAGGGGTCACCTCCACCTGAATCATGGAATGGTGGAAGCGGAAGCCCCCCTCCCAGGTGATCCACTTGAAAGATCTCTGAATGATTCTGCCCCCTCCCCGCCACTTCGAGCTGCTTCTCCTGCACTACCAAGCACTGAAACGAGGCTCCGTGTCAAGAACCACACAGAGGAGAGTTTCTCAGGGAGACAGGGCAGCGTGGAGCCAGCTCAACCAAGGACCAGGGTGGGCTAGCTGCCCAGCGCGGGACAGCAGCCCAGTGGAGGGTGCTGGCCAGGGATGCTGGCCCCTCCAGGCCTGACAGGGCCACCGGTACCTTTTCAGAAAGCACTGCCTTGGGGTTTTTTTTGGAAAACACACAGCAAAGGCTCCTCCCCGAGCCCTGTCTTCTGTGCACTCTGTTATGAGCAGACACCTCGGGTTCCTGTTTTCACAGCGGCATCTGAGGCATCTGTTTGCCCAGGGCACTGTGCCTGGACCTTGCTCTGGGGTGTTCACAACACAGGGCTAGAGCCGCCAGCTGGGATAAAGGCTTCCACAGCCACCGTCCTGGGAGCCACCACCAGAAAGCCACAGCCAGACCCCGCAGCACACAAAGGTGGTAACGTGAGCAGCAGGGTCTCTACACACAAGAGTGGCGGCCAGCCAGTCTGGTGTCACCCGTCTGCTCACAGTGCCCAAGTTCAGATCCACCAGGAGGCAGAGGGAGCTGCAGGGCTGGTGTTAGCACGCAGAAGCAGCCTGTCCTTCCACACTGCAGAAATGCCTCCGTACCTTAAAGTTGGGGATCCTGTGATGAACAGGCCGGGGAAAGTCAGCTACATTTTCTGACTCCATGTAGTCCCAAATTCGTTCACGAATGTCCTGTTTGGAGCCACCTACGGCAACAAAGACCTGTGACTCGTTGATGAAATAAAAGGACTCCACGGCACACATGGCCCCAGGTCGAGTTGCACCTGGCCACCCTGACACCTCCCCAACCCCGAGAAGGACGCTATATGGAGCTCATGACCACACCAGACAAGATTCAGGTACCAGTCCCGCCCCACGGGGCCATCAGCATGACACTTCTTCCTGTGAACCCCTCCTGCTAGCTCGGCCTGCACACAGGGAGGTGCTGCTACCAAAGCCTCCACTGTCTTTCTGTCAATGGTGACAAATGATACATAGAGCTGTCATTGTTTTTAACTTAAAAAATGTCCTTGGAGATTAGTCTGAATAGGTGTGTGGGAAACACGCGTGCTTTTTTGTCCAAAGCACCCACCTCAGGGAGAGGCCGACATTGACCCAGGCAGACGCCACTGAGGGGGGATCTGCTTTTCGACCTTCTGTGACCTCCCTATTTACATCACCATCCAAAACTGTGCGTGCGGACTCTAAGCATGAGGCCCAGACTGAAGCTCCTGGGCACAGTGTGCACACGAGTGTCCTCACAGCCAGGCCCTGGAGCCTCCTGGAGCCCATTCCAACAGTGCTGGAGCTTCCTCTCTGGCTGCACCTCAAGTGCTCAAGGAGCTCCGTGCAGACTCCAGTGAGCTCAGGGGGCACGCATCTCTAGAGAGAGGGCTGGGGCCTGGTCACTGTCAGCCTACGTGGCACACTCCGAAGACCCAACTGAGCCTTGCTGGCAGAGCCCAGCACTTGGCTTGTTCCTCGTGGCTGGAATCTTTGCACACGCCAGCTGCTGCTGGGAAGTTCTGTGCTCTGTCCCCCAAGCTCTTACTCCCCCAGGCCCAGCTCCAGCAGCAGCTGTGCCTCGGAGCAGGCTGAATGCTCCCCTCCTCTGCGGAGCCTCCATCCAGGTGTGCTGCGGGAGCTGCTGTAGGCGAAGGCCCTTCTGACCACTCAGCCTCATGCCCACCCAGCCTCACTTCAACCCCAAAGGTGGCTGAACACGGTTGCTGGCCATGACACGCCCGCCCATGTCTCTCTCCCTTAAGTCTCCTTAGGTGTCACCTCTGCCAGGAAGCCATCCTGAGTGCTCAGCCCCAGACAGATGCCCCCCCTCAGGAACCCAGAGGAACCCCCCCTGTTTGCCTTTCACAGACAATTACATGGGCATGGTTATTACTTGGTTATCACAGGCAAAGACCTAGAATCTCCCCAACCTGAGACGGACGCTCTATGGGACACAAGAAATGTCAAAATCGGGCCCCTGCCCTGGAGAGACAATGACGCAGACACATAAGTGACACCAAGCAAAAGGCTAACTGGCAGGGGGAGGGGAAATGAGAAATAAAGGGGCAGGCCTCGCCCTATGAACCCGCGGGAAGCGGGAGGGTGGTAAGGGCAGCACACGGGGTGCGCAGTGCCTGAACCCTGCTCTGCGCGCGCCTGTTTGCTCCCCAGGTCAGCCTGGGTCCTGGCCGGCCAGCCTGGGTCTCAACCGCCCCCGCTGGGTCCTGGTCGCGGCATCCTCCCCGAAGGGCGCCACCGCCACCGCCACCGCCACCGCCGCGCGCCACAGTCCCCCCGCCGCCCACGGCGCACTCCGCAGGCGACAGGAGCCCGGCGGGGGCGCGCCGCGCGCGGCCTGGGGACCCACGCGGCGCCCCGCGAGCAGGACGCGCGCGCACCGGCCCCTGCACTCTGCCCCGGCTGCCCGCGGAGGGCGTCCTCCTGGCCAGCGGCTCCGCGGGCGACTCGGGCCGAGGGGTCTCCGACCGCCCCGCCGCCGCCTCGCGTCCCCGTCATCTCGCCAGGTCCTCGTGGGACGCGCGGCCGAGCGGTCCCCGCCGCCGTCCCGCTGGCCCCCAGTCTCCCCGAGCGCCCCTCACCCGCCCCGGGCTCCATGGCGACGCAGCTTCTGCGCGACGTGACGTCACCGCGGCGCCTCCGCCTGTCACCGCGGTCGCCTCCCCACGGGCTGCTCGCACTTAGCGTCGTGCGCTGGAGCTGCGCGGGCTCTTGGTGGCCCTCGGCTCGCCTATGTGTAGGGCCAGTTCCACCGCCGCGTGGCCACAGTGACCCCCTCCCCTGGGAGGAGCCCTGTTACCCCCCGGTGGGCCGTTGTGGATGAAGCTGCTGTAAATGGCCACGTGGAGGCTCACTTAGAACTTAGCTGTCACAGGCCCTTCCTGATAGTCTTGAGCCTTTAGAACCCGGCCAGAAGGTAATGAATAGCCACAGTGGCCAGCTGTGTGGAGCCTGGCCATCGCCCCTGAGCTGGGTGACCCTGAGTGTCCAGGCCACCCTCTGAGCTTCAGCCCCCTCTTTTGTGAAACATGTGGAACTGGTTCCTTCACTTTAGTGGGCAAGAGGAAGGGTGGCTGCTTGGTCCTGGGGGAGCACGGCAAGCAGCGTCCTCATGGAGCTCCACAGCTAGCTGGTGGGTGACAAAAGACAAGGCCCCATGACAGCCCAGCCCCTCCCCTCAGGCACTCTGAGCTCCAGAGCTTGTGGCTTCCTGAGACCCCCCAGCTCTCCTTTCCACTGGCTGCTCTTTGTGAGGATTCTCCTGTCCAGGACCCCAGTGAGCAGCCAGCAACCTGGCACTTCAGGGAGGGGGTGACTTGGCAAGGATGCCTAAGGTGTCCCCATGACATCTCCTGTTCTTGCTGCCACCACCCAGCCAAAGATGGTCACCTCACAACAGTAGCACTCCTGCCTCCCAGTCTCCTGCTTTTCTATCCTGCCTTCCGCCTACCTGGACCCCACCTGCCTGTTTTCTGGCTTTGAGTCTGGCTTCCGCTCCCTGCACGGGCTCAGCGTGAGCTTCGTCACCGGGCAGAGGTGGCCCTGCTCACCTCATCCCAGCACCTGCCTCCCGTGGCTCCAGTCCTGCTCTGCCTGCCTCCCTTTCGGGCTTTGCTCGTGTGCTTTCCATCTCAGAAATGCTGTTTCCCACTCCACCCCCATTTTTTGCAGGTGGAAAAAATCCCACTACACCAAGAATGAACTTTCTTAAACTGTGGACCAAGGTGACGATGGGCCACTGTGAGTTCGCTGGTTGTAACAAAAGCACCCACGGGTATGCTATCCATACCAGGGACGCGGGGGGAATCTCCACCTTCTGCTCGATTTTGCTGTGGACCTAAAACTGCTGGAACAAACTAAAAGGCTATAAAAAATTCCCCCCCCCCAGGTGTCCTGGTGACTAGCCAAAGGGGAGGGAAGGGCCTGGGGAAACACCTCCGCCCAGGTGGGGCATCTTCCAGTGCTGCCACTGTGCGGTCACCTTACGCTAGGAAGGCAGGAGGTACTCTGCAGGGGCACAAAGCCCCTGCAGAAAGCCAGCAAACAAGTAAAAACCCTCCGTTGAGGGGTGGAGAGAGGGTTGGTGGCTGCTCTGACTTTCTCAGGGAACCGAACGTGACTTAGAACGCCCGGCGTGTGTGACGGCCATCCCAGCCATCCCACGTGGACCCCGGGAGCACCGAGGCTGAGTTTTAAAACATCCCCTTTGCATGTGGGAACCAGTCAATTTAGTCAAAGTAAACTCATGACCATCTTTAAATACACGGCAGGAAGCCAGTGGATTGCAACTCTGAGGGCCAGAACAGAACAGTGGTTGGAGCCTATTTTTGAGACGCATTGTAACTGCTAGAAGCAGCAGTTATGGTGGAGTCCAGCCAGTAACAAGGTGTCCTTCTGACGAAGGTGCTTCTGGGCTTTCAGCCAGGCCCAGGGCTGGCATCTTCTCACCCCTCAATTGCTGGTCTCCTGTGCTGACAGCGGTAGCACTGGGAATCGAGGCCTTCTCCTGTCGGGCTCCCCATGGGGACTGTCATGCTGGGGAGGTGTTTGAAGCCGCAGAAAATGCTTAGCAGATACAACACTGTTGAAGAGCCAGTAAGAGGTGTTTGAGGGACATTGTCTCCCAATTGCCAGATCAATACAGGTTTCTAATAGTTAAATTCAAATTTCAAATAAACAATGAACATATATACAAATATGCTGAATACCACGTATGCTTATTATATATATGTGGGTGTATGTAAATATGTCCCAGGTAGTCTTTGAACATCTTTATCTGCTCAATCTGGCAACCCAAAGCAAAGAACGTTCCAGTTTAGAGTTTTTCTTTCTCTAGTTTCCAGGCCCGGCTTGCTTGCCAGCTTCCCCAGGGACGCACACCGCCTTCTCCCTCCCATCTGTCCTAGCTCGCTTTCTCCCACGGCAGCCCTGGGAGCAGGGAGCAGCGAAGCATCCCTGTGCCCGGCCCTGGGACAGAAGGGAGGCAGCACTGTGGAGGGTACATTGGAGGCACCTGTTGAAATTCTAGCCTGGCCCTGGGAACCTGCAGAGGGCTCCAGTGGCTAAGATGAAGCCCCATCCCCTGGTGACCGCATACCTGCCACAGCCGGGGAGCCGGTGCTGTGGCCATCTCCTCCATCCCTTACGCAGTATCTGCCTAGACTACACCAGCACATGTTGGCACTGAATTCTGGGCTTGAACCCCGCATGGGCGAAACGTCCTGTGGTTATGGCAGGGGAAATGGGAGGTGTCTCTGAAGTGACATCCATTTATTCAATTTATCACTTGGAGCATGGAGTCTGCCCCGCCGCCCCCCCCCCCCAGCAGGATTCAACCCAGCACAGGGAGGCCCTGGACCCTGACTGCCTTCCTGGTGCCTCCATTCTGGTATGGAGGCCGGGCAGACGGCAGGCACAGGGTGGTCAGTGCAGCTGGGAGATGAAACGGGATGCGGTGAGCGGAAGGAAGGAAGCCAGGGGAGGAAGTGGCTGGGAGCCAGACTGAGAGTGGGGGTCAGGCAAAGGTCTTGAGGAGTGCAAAGGCCCTGTGGGGCCCAGGCTGGGCAGAGGAGGAAGCCCCCTGTGGGGCACTTGCAAGCAGAGGCTGAGGCTGGGGCAGGGGCGTCCTCACCTCTCACTGACTCCTAAGGGGGAAGAGGATCCATGGTGCCCGGGATGGCCTGATTCCGGGGGGGGGGGTGCTCTATGCTTCCCCTTTATTCAGTCCTCTGAAGTCTCCCATGAAAGGTGATTTCTTTTTTTTTTTATTGGTTGTTCAAAACATTATAAAGCTCTTGACATATCATATTTCATACATTAGATTCAAGTTGATTATGAACTCCCAATTTTACCCCAAATACAGATTGCAGAATCACATCGGTTACACATCCACATTTTTACATAATGCCCTATTAGTAACTGTTGTATTCTGCTACCTTTCCTATCCTCTACTATCCCCCCTCCATCCCCTCCCATCTTCTCTCTCTACCCCATCCACTGTAATTCATTTCTCTCCTTGTTTATTTTCCCATTCCCCTCACAACCTCTTATATGTAATTTTGTATAACAATGAGGGTCTCCCTCCATTACCATGCAATTTCCCTTTTCTCTCCCTTTCCATCCCACCTCATGTATCTGTTTAATGTTAATCTTTTCTTCCTGCTAAAAGGTGATTTCTGTAAGTCAAAAGACAGTGGGTTTTTACAAGGCAGCACCCACTCCAGTTGACCAAGGGTCAGTTCCCATGTAGCATTTGGAAGCTCGTGACAGCTCTGGTGTCTGGTCCTGTTTCCGGAATCCCAAGGCATCTCCTGGGCCCCACGAGAAAGGTTGGGAGGATGCTGGCTTAACCGAGGAGGGCAGAGGAGAGGCAGCCTTCCCCTCATCTGGCCACCAGGTTCTCCCTGAGCCTCGGAATTGGAGGAGGCTGCACTGGCTCACAGGCCTTCCCCTGAGAGGTTTTCTGATCATTTCCCCCAAACTGTGCGGCACTGGCAGCAGGGGAGGAGGAGGAAGGCATTCCTTCAGCAACCCTGGGCTGGGGGTGGGGGCCGCCGCATCGCCACCTGAAAGGTGCAGATTTTATTTGCTTACAAATAAGAGAGGGGATGGGGCTGGGGATCGGCAGTAGAACACCCGCCTAGCACGTGTGAGGTGCTGGGCTCGATCTTCAGCATCACACAAAAATAAATAAATAAAATCAAGGAATTGTGTTCAACTGTAACAACAACAACAAAAAAAAATTAAAAACAAACAAGCAAAAAACCTGGGAGCGTTTCCTTCTTGCTCCTAAGAAGTTTCAAAGACATTTCTGTTTCCCGCAGATCATGCTCTCGAAACATGGCAAGGCTACGGAAAACACTGGGATTTCTGCGCAGTTTATTGACCTTCCCTCCCTCCGGCAGGTTTCCGAAGGCCTTCTCCCTGCTGTGCAATGCCAAGGTGCGTCCGTAAGGTGTCAGCACCTTCATTAGCGCCGAAGCCACCGGCTTTTCCTTCTCTTTTTTTGCAGAGTAGTTCCCGTGTTGGACGCAAGATGGCGCCAACACCCACAGAGTCTGTCTGAGCCAGGTGACCGAGCCCAGCCGCGCCCGGACGGGAAGTGACACGCTGTGAGGAAGAAACAGCAACTTTCGCCTTTTTCACCGCTTATCACTTTAGTAACACACAGGGCCCTCTGGGACCCGATTTTGCTTTTGGCACTGACCACGAGGAAGGGGGAAATCAGCAAGGAAATAGCAGCCCGCAATCCCAAATACGCTGGTAGGGTAAAGCCAGGATGGGAATATGGCTTTGGCAAAGTCCAGGTGTGTTTTAATAACCTGAACAGACATCTCTCCCAGGGTCGGACCGCACCGAGAAGAAACCCAATCCCAGGGGAAAGGGAAATGTCTCTCTCACCTCTTCTGTCTTAAGGAGGTCTCCCTGGCCTTCACTTCTCCTGGCTAATAAATTTGGCAACTCAACCAAAGTTCTCAGATGGCTTCAGTTTAAACCTGGGCTCTCTCAGAGGTACC